AAAAGAATTGACCTTGATGAAGGGCGGTGTGAGACTTTGCATCACATAACAATACATCACAAAAGAATTGACCTTGATGAAGGGCGGTGTGAGACTTTACACTACATAACAATGCATCACAAAAGAATTGACCTGCATGAGTGTTGCATGGGGCTTGTATTGGGGAGGAAGCCGGAGCACGAAACCTTGTGTTTTTCCGTGTAAAGTGGCTGCAGCCGGCGATGAGAGATACCTCGTGTGTGCGGCGGTTGCGGCTGCGGTCCTTTCATGCGCGAATTGGTTCCCCCTCTGTGTTCTGCAACAAGCTGCATGATTGTTGTCATGCTCTGCAGCCATGCGCGTAGAGAGATGCGGGTTAGCCACGTGATGCTGTGAAACGTATTGTAATGGCTGCGTCAAGGTTGCATGGGGCTTGTGTTGGGGAGGAAGCCGGAGCACGAAACCTTGTGTTTTTCCGTGTAAGGTGGCTGCAGCCGGCGATGAAAAATACCTCGTGTGTGCGGCGGTTGCGGCTGCGGTCGTTTCATGCGCGAATTGGTTCCTCCTCTGTGCTCTGCAACAAGTGGTTGTTCCTACGCGCGTAGTTCTATGCGCTTCTTGAATCTCTGGTTGCGGATCGCATTGGAATGGCTGCATGATTGTTGTCATGCTCTGTTGCCATGTGCGTAGAGAGATGCGGGTTAGCCACGTGATGCTGCGAAACGCATTGTAATGGCTGCATGAATGTTGCCTGTGGCTGGTTTTGGGGAGGAAGCCGGAGCACGAAACCTTGTTTTTTCCGTGTAAAGTGGCTGCAGCCAGCGATGAAAGGTACCTCGTGTGTGCGGCGGTTGCGGCTGCGGTCGTTTCATGCGCGTATTGGTTTCCCCTCTGTGTTCTGCAACAAGTGGTTGTTCCTGTGTGCGTAATTCTGTGCGTTTCTTGAATCTCTGGTTGCGGATCGCATTGGAATGGCTGCATGATTGTTGTCGTGCTCTGTTGCCATGTGCGTAGAGAGATGCGGGTTAGCCACGTGATGCTGCGAAACGTATTGTAATGGCTGCGTCAAGGTTGCATGGGGCTTGTGTTGGGGAGGAAGCCGGAGCACGAATTCTTGTGTTTTTCCGT